TCTTCCAGTTTTTTTACCTGTATTCTAAGTAAAATGAAAACTTTGTTACAAATAACTTCACTAACCTGTGGGATATACTAACAACAAAAATGGGGAATGGTGCATGTCAAGAATACTGTTGTTGCTGAGCGTGGTGGCGCACGCCTGTAATCCCAGCACTCTGGAGGCTGAGGCAGAAGGATGATTGTGAGTTCAAGACCAGCCTGGGCTACGTAGTGAGTTCCAGGTCAGTCTCAACTACATAGTGAGACCCTGTCTCAAAAAACAAAATAAAACTAAACGAAGAATACTGTTGTTTTCAAGTAAATAACAATTTTCCCTTTACTTCCTTGATTTTTGGAGAACTTTTTACACACTATGACCATTCCTCATGCATCCCCCTTCTAATATCCTGAGTAATTAAATGGGAAGTAGTTGAGTTTAACAGTGATTACCTAAATAAAAATTCAAACAGGTAGTGTTTTGAGGGGCTGTGAATCTCACTGCTTAGGTGTGCAGCCTAGACTAAGTTATTTTAGCCTCCTTGAGCATTACTTCCTTACCTATAACTAGGGACAATGAGGAGTTCAAAGGATTGCCTGTAGATTATATGAAATAAAGCCATAATATGCCTAGCAAAACATGGGCTCCTAACAGAGTCATTCCTTAACTGGTCAGGGTATACACTGATATAACTTTAAAATTTTTCCTATCAAAAAAAAATTTTTTTTGGCTGGGCATGGTGGTACATGCTTGTAATCCCAACACTTGGGAGGCTGAGGCAGGAGGATCTCTGTGAATTGAACACCAGCCTGGGCTATACAGTGACTCCAGGTCAGCCTCAACTATATAGTCAGACCCTGTCTCAAAAAACAAAAACAAAAACAAAAACAAAAAATTTTATTTTTTTGGTACCAGGGATCGAACTTGGGACTTTGCACTTGGTGGCAGGTGGCAGAACCACTGAGCTAAATCCCTGACCCTCAAAAATCTGGGTTTTTTTTTTTTTTTTTGGTACTGGGGATTGAACTTGGGTCCTTGAGCTTCAAATGCAGGCGCTGGAACCACTGAACTAAATCCCCAGCCCCCTCAAAAATCTTAAATATGTGCATGTTATATCTGTAATACCATTCCTGGCAATAATCCTAGAAAATAAACCTAAATACAGAAAAGGCTTTTTTTCATAAAATGCTAGTCAGCACATTACTGATAAAGCCCCAAATCTGAAACAACTTCAATATTTAAGGAAAGAGGAATACAATTACCTAGCAGATACAGATATAGATTGGGAGGGATTATTTTTGAAATGAAATCTTGCTATTATGTGCTCAGGCTGACCTGGAACTCCTGGGCTCAAGCATCCTGCCCCAGCCTCTGAGTAGCTGGGACTTGATAGGTGTATGCCACCACGATTGGCCACAAGATATTCTTATAAATCACTTATTGTTTTACCTTCAGTTATGAAAGCAACATGTTACCTGTGAAAAATACAGAAAAGCACCAAGAAAGTCCAAATCATGTATAAAACAAAAATTTATCTAATAAAGAAAAATTGCCATATTAAGTAAAAAAAAAATCCTTAAAATTGAAAATACAGTATGAATTCATCCTTAGTTTTTTTAAAATAAAAAAGAATAAGGGCTGAGGATTTAGCTCAGTGGTTCTGCTGCTTCTCGAGCACAAGGTCCCAAGTTCAATCCCCAGTACCACACAAATAATAAACAAACAAAAGAGAATAAAAACAATTTGCTAGGATTCCAAAAGGCTTTTCAGAGGCTGTAGCTTCTAGGGTGAGATGGGACTGAAAGATGGGCAGGTTTTCTTTTTTCTTGATAGGATTTCAGTGGATGACAACATTAAAAGCAAATGGTAAAGGGAAATCAAATTAATGGAAGAAAGTACAGTAATAGGAAAGTGCAGGATCACCAAAATAGGGCTGATTGCTGCAAATACCCAATTCCTCTGGTCTGCTTTTTGTACACCAAGAACCCTTTTTATCTGTGCTTTGGCCTCTTTAGTACAACAGGAGCAGACTCTCATGCAGGTCTCTGTATACACATACTTCTTTCACTGTAAATTAATAACCTTGCATATGGATTTTCAAATTATTCTCCAGAGAGTCTGGTGACAGCCCCTTAGAGCCTGAAGTCACTAAAAATAAATAAGTAAATAAAAAGGAGTTTCTGTCCTCGCAAAACTGAAAGAGGTCACAGGTAAAGGACCAATAGTAGAGTCACCACTAAACAACCAGGCAGATTTTACCCATTTTACACAGCCAGGGTGGAAGACATTGTAGCAGGGAGATGGGGGAGGGGGAAGGGTCCTTAAAAACCACCAACCTGTCAAGGGCCATAGAAAACTGAGAAGCAACAACAGGTGTTGCATCCCCCAGGCTCTGAGGAAGCAACACCTACTCAGTGATAGGAAACCTTTTAGAGCTTTCATGGATAACAAACAGCCCACAGGGGCACATGTGCCACAGGAACCCAGGCGCTGTTAAGAAATTCACCAAAAACAGAAAATGCCATGTTTATCATTATTTTGAGTATGTTTGTTGAGGGGAAACTAAATCAACCAGAACAAGTAAACCAACCTGGAGATGAGATCCAGGCAAATGAGTACTGAAGGAGGGAATAAACCCTCTGCAGGTAGGGATTTGGTGAAGCAAGTCCCTTACAAACAAGTGGTATTTAAGAGGGTAAGATATGAATCAGGTATAGTGGTGCACACTTAATTCCAGTACTTGGGAGGCTGAGGCAGGGAGATTAAGTTTGAGGCCAGCCTGGACTACAAGTGAGTTCAAGGCCAGCCTGAACTGCATAGTGAGACCTTGTCTAAAAAACAAAAAGGAAAGATCTGCTATGATGAATGTAATAATTATGTACTGCCAACATGTGCTAATAATTTTTTAAAATTTAAAAATAATGCAAGAAATGCCTGATTGTATAGCAGAGGAAGAAATGTTGGATAAAAATGAGTAGTGAATATTGTGATCACTTGTGAACACACTGCACAGCCCTGAAATAAACAGAATGCAGAGATAAATTAAAATAGAGCCTTAGGAGGCAGGGTTATCTAGCTCAGCGGCTCATAATATGCTTATTATGCAGGAAGCCCTGGGTTCAGTCTCCAGCATCAAAAAAGAGGAACAGGAAGACGACAAAGCTACTGAAAACTACCTACACAAACTATTGTCTGCTTTAAAAAAAAATAACTAAAATGGAAGCAGTGGTATACACATGTAATCTAAGTTACTTTGCGGGCTAGAGACAGGAGGATGATTTGTGTTCAGGAGTTCAATTTGACAACATAGTGAGACTCTCATCTCAAAATAAACAAAAACTATCTAAAACACTTGAGTGACTGAAAAATTCAAAGATGGCTCAGTGTTTCAAATGCAGACATGCTGTTGAAAGGGGAGAATTAAGATAACAAGTGTGCGGAATGGGGCTCACAATTAAACAGTATGTATTGTTACTGTCTTCAAGTAAGCACAGTTTCATTTTTATTTAAAAGTTTTCTAAACAATTCACTGATCCACATAAACATATTCAATGGACTTCCAATAAACAGAACATAAAATACCATGATTACAATATCACTTATATATTTTTACTTAACTTTTGTAATTATAAAGATACTTAGGAAAAAACATTCTAAAAGCCACACACTCCATTTCAATTAGGGCTGAAATTCTAGATTTGAACAAGTGCAAGGTCCTGAGTTCCATCCCAGGTACGGAGGGAAAAAAAAAGAATAATAACAGTACATTAGAAATATGCTAGTATCCTGGACCTGACTATAAATACATTATCTAGAAACAAAGTAGAAAAGTCTTTTAAAAGTCCACCTATCCTAATCCGAGACAAAGAGAAAAGGTTGGTGTAAAAAAATAAGGCAAATACACTTTCATTCTTGGAAGATTTCCAGATAGAAGTAACACAGTAAGAGCCTAGACACTGCTACAATTATTACATTATCTCAAATCAAAGGAAAGGAGTATTTTAAAGCCCATCTTTCCCTGAATAAAGATGGAAGATTAAGGTATTAAGAAATGAAGGCAAATATGCTTTCACTCCTCTCACAGGCTCTGGATAGCTGAAAGAGCTTTGTTATGCATTCAAATCAATGCTACACTGATAGCACTGTTTAATTCTACCATACTGCATTAAATAAGTTTATTTAATAAAACTGTTGCTGTCACAATTGGTTACTCAGTAGAGAAAAAAGTTAGAGCTCCCATTTTACACCCCAACTAAAAAAAATTTCAGATGTACAGAAGATCCCAAGACAAAAACAAATAAAAATATTAGAAAATATTAATAAAAGCTTATGACAGAGAAGTTCTTTCAAAGCAAGTAAGCCTAGCAAGAAGCCTAGCAAGAAGCCATCAAAAGTCTCATAGTTCTGACTACACAAAAATTTAATTTTTCTGTACGGTAAAACAATTCATAGTCAAAAGACAAATGAGAGAAAATTATTGTAACACACTTCATAGGTAAATGAATTAATTTTTATATACAAAATCAGTACAGAGATGACAACTTATTTTCTCAAATGGGTAAAAGATAAGTATACATAGCTTTTAAAAAAGTAAGAAAGTCAATTATGCACCCAAAAAAGACCTGTAAGTCATAAAAATGCCACCTACTATTTTTCACCTATCCAACTGGCAAAAATAAAAAAGACCGATGATACCAACGATGGCAAGGGTGGAGGAAAACAAGTACTATACACTCCACTGGTGTATACTGGTGTTACTGGAAAATAACCCAACACTACCCAAAGACAACAAACACATCTATTTGACCTAATGATCCTACTTCTGGATGGCTAAAATACAGAAATGAAACCTGGATTACATAAAGATATATGTACAAGCATATTAATGGTAGCATTTAGTGCCCCCAAAAAACCTTTAAATAACTTGTGTCCACCAAAAAATGGAATGGGTGGATAAATTATGGTATATGCATTTTATAGAATATAAGATGGATAACAAAAATGATTTGGATGCTTACCTGTGGAAGGCCCTCAGCTCAATCCCAGCACTGTTTTTAAAAAAATAATTAAAAAAAAAAAACGGGCTGGATCTGGAAGTAGTGGTTCAGGCTAACAATCTCAGCACTATGGGAGGCTGAGGCAGGAGGACTGCAAACTCAAGCCAAGTCTGGGCAATTTAGTAATTAGGGTGAGACCCTGCTCAAAAATTTAAAAAAATACAGCTCAGTGTAAAGACACTGGGTTTGATCTATTACTGGGACACAGGTGGGAGGGCCGTAGATAAGTGGTATAGTGCTTGTCTAACAAGTGTGAAGCCCTAGGTTCCATCCCAGCATGGAGATGGGGAGGGAAAATATATCTATACCCAAAGTATACTATTCAATGTTTACTGTTTATTTTGTAGTACCGGGAATTGAACCCAGTGCCTCACGAATACTACTAGAAAATTACTCTACCAGTGAGCTATATCCCTAGTCCTTTTTATTTTGAGACAGGGTGCCCAGGCTGGCCTCAAACTTGCCATGCTCCTATCTGAGCCTCTTGCCCCACCATGCTTGGCTGGAATAATAATAAAAATAATAATATAATAATAATAATAATGAAAAAGAAGAAGAGGAGGAGGAGGAGGAAGAGGAGGAGGAGGA